TTCCTTCCTTCCTTCCTTCCCTCCCTCCCTCCCTCCCTCCCTCCCCCTCCTCCCTCCCTCCCTCCCTCCCTCCCTCCCTCCCTCCCTCCCTCCCTCTTTCTTTCTTTCTTTCTTTCTTTCTTTCTTTCTTTCTTTCTTTCTTTTTTTGAGGCTGATCTAGTAAAGTGAGGTGAAAAAGTGGCCCTCCGCAGCCTTTACTTCGAGGCTGGGCAACGGTTTCCTTGAGCCAGTCTGCCACAGAGTCCCCCCTACGCTGTCCACCACGTCATCCCCCTAAGCTTGCCTTCTTCTCTTCTCCTTTTGAAACTTTGCCTGGGTATCTTGGCTGCCTATGTGATGCCCTGAGCAGGCTGGGAAAACGGAAGACACTAAAAAGAAAAAAAAAAAAAAGGGGGGGGGTTAACCCCAAGAAAACCTCCCCGTCGTTTAGTGTTTATCTCCAGGCAACAGACAGCCGCCTACTCTCCCTCAGCACCTAATCGGGCAGAAGCTAGGTTTATATCTTCTTACCTAAAGTGAGTTTATGGCTCAACATATTAGCGCAAGAAGCGAACTCAGGACCCTCTGCCCAAATTCTGAGGTCGGAATCTCTCTTTGTTGCAACTCTCTTGGTTCCAAAAGAGCCATCTTGGACCTTGGCAGGTGGTCATCTGTACAGGCAGGAGATCCGGCTTCTGGGGGGGGGGGGAAGACTCTGACTTGTGTGCCGAGCAAGGTTTTAAGTCAGGGGTTCTCAACCTTGGCAACTTTAAGACTTGTGGACTTCAACTCCACAAGTCTTGAAGTTGCCAAGGTTGAGAACCCCTGTTTTAAGTGATTCCGGTATATGCAAGGGTGGCACGTACAAAACATGACAGGCCCCAACATAGCTCAGTCTGAGATCTGTGGATCTGTTTTGTTTCGTTTTATAAGGGATTCCCCATCTCTGCTATTTCTTTTTGAAATGGGACTTTGGCTGGTTTCATAGTCTGAACGGGTCTGGGCTTAACTGGTTAAAGCGACTCCTGTCCTTTCTTTGCCCCCAGGGGTTATTTGAGAAAGGGGGGGGGGTTGGGGGACCATGTTCAACCTTGTGCTGGCATTTCACTCTGCCAGTTTAACCTGAAAGCACGGTGGGTGGTTCCAGGCTGGTCACTTTATTATTCTCAGCCTAGAATTAACTTGGTCTCCGGGTGCCCTGCAGGGAGCTGATGGACTACAACTCCCAGAATTGCTGGTTAGTGTGTTGAACACGGTAACCTCATCAAGGAAGGGCTCTCCTGGTTGAAGAACAGTGGCGTGCATCTTTCCTATTTCCTTTGAAGGGAATGGTAAATTAATGCCATTCAAACCCCTGCCAGTTTTCCCGCTGACTCCAGACAAGAAGAGTTGCAGTCCCTTTGCTTCTTGAGATGTTGAAAGTGGTTTCTTGAACTTGTGACTCAGTCCTCCCCTGTTTTAGACTTGTTATGCCATTCCCCACCCCTGGGGAATCAGAGTTAGATGCAGTTGAAAAACGTGGCTTGAAATAAAATAAAAACCCTCCTTCCACCCTACCAATAAAGGTTTAGCCTCAGCCCAGGTTCAATTTCTGGATACTCCAGCCCTGAGTGGTTTTCAATGCAATGTTTCCTCAAACAACAGATAAAAGATTTGTCTTTGTTGTCTTCCAGATTTTTTTTTCCAATCAAGGTTATATCTTTGGGATTTCCTAGTGGTGTCTTATCCACACATTAACCAGATCTTTTTCTTTCATAACTGACTGGAAGAAGAAAGAGGACACTGGGTCTTTCCATATACAGTGGGCAGTAAGAAAGAAAAAAAGTAGGCTGTAGAGAGAGAGGCTGTGTCTTATTTTCTACTGCTATTTGTTGTTCCCTATGGATTAAATTTGTGGCTCGTGGCAGAAATAGCTGGCAGCAGATCTCATTAAATTCCATGGCCTTGTTTCATTTTGGAGTAGGTCAGAAAGGAATATCACTGGTTTGGTTAGTGCCGCATAGAGGAGGAAAGCCTATGGGAAATGACAGTGTGGCAGATGAAGCAGCACTTTGAAAACTCTTTCTGAAGGAAATTGGAGGTCAGTGTTGAAGCATGGTGATGGGAGGGGGAGAAAAGAGACAAGGAAGCTACTTAAAATGAAGGACCAGCCAGGCGTTTGGGGAGCACAAGTCTTGATTTCCACGACTGCAGATTGCAGCCTGCCTTCATTGATCTCCAGAAAAACTGAAAGGTGCTTTTTCCAAAAGACAACTAGACTTTCTCGGGGGGGGGGGTTCCCCTTTGAAAACACTTTGCTTCTCATCTAGGAAGCTTTGTCAGTTCAGTTCAAAGCTTCTTGGATGGGAAGCGAAATATTTTCAAAGGAAAAAAAATGAGAAAGTCTAGTTCAGTGGTTCTCAACCTTTTTAATGCCGCGACCCCCAACTGGTCGTAAGTCGAGGACTACTCAACTGGTCGTAAATCGAGGCCTACTCAACTGGTGCAGCACCGTTTGCAGAATGGGACTTTTGGCAGACTCAGCAGGGCAGAGACAGCCTGGACAATTCCTATTGGCTTTTGAAAGCCAATAGAATTAGACTCTATTCAAGAGAGTCTATTCTATTGGCTTTTAAAGGCAATAGAATAAAAGGGAGTAGCACAACTAAGGAAAAGGGGGGAAAAATGGCGGACTGCGTTGTTTGGCGACCCCCGTGAAATGGTCGTTCGACCCCAAATGGGGTCCCAACCCACAGGTTGAGAACCACTGGTCTAGTTGCCTTTTTGGAAAAAGCACCTTTGGGACAACTGTGAGTTGGGTGATTGAGCAGCTCCATAGGCATCTCCTGGGGGGGGGGGGGAGAGAAACACCCAGGAATTCTGCCACAATGCTTAAATTGAGGTTTGCTTACCAGTTTGAAGTGTGAGATTATTCCCATTGGCTACTTCTGAGGGCCTGAGAGCAGATGCCCTGCATTGTCTAGGTGGGGCAAAAAATAAAATATTTTTAAAGTGGCTTTATTTTTACTCTCTGTTCTGGTACTGTTGGGTAAAGAAGCAGTCTTGGTTCTGTTATGCTCCTAGGGTCCTGTTATGCGCCTTAGGGGAAATAAATCTGGGGTGTGGGTGAACATCACCAAGCCCCCTTTTCTAAAGAAATGAATGGCAAGGGATGTGCTTAAACCTGTGCCGACATACCAGGGGTGTGCCAGTCTAAATTTGCCAAAGATAAGCCTTTTATTAAGTATCCCAAAAACACACTAAACATGTTTTGCTTTCTCCATAAAACTCAATGTCTGTCCGTTGTTGTGGCAAAGGCAGTAAAGGAAACTTTGAGCCGGAAGTTGATTCTCTGCAGTACAGGCAGAACATGTCCTCCTCTTTCTCTCCAAGAAGTTTATAAAAGTCAGTGGTATAACAGTCCTAACCTCCAGCTTTCACACATTGTGATGTGCATATGTCTGTGTGTGTGTGTGTGTGCGTGCGTGTGCATGCGTATGCACATCCTCAAATCAGTGATGACTCCTGGCGGCTATCTAAATTAATCCCTGCAGTATTCCCAGCAAGTTTTCAGAAGTGGTTTGCCATTGCCTGCTTCCTAGGGGTGAGGGAGAATGACTGGACTCAGGGTCACCTAGCTGGCTTTGTGCTTCAAGCAGAACTAGAACTCACAATCTCCCAGTTTCTAACCTGGTGCCTTCACCCCTACATCAAATGAACTCTCACATTTTGGGATAGGAGTCAACTATGGTAATAGCAAGGGTCCTGATATAACTTTCCCTCTCTTCACTAGATGACAACTTTGCCATTCCAATTCTGCCCTGGAATCCTTATCCTCTGTCTGGGAACATATAATTTACATTACTTTTCTATTCAACCCAGCAGTCTCCGGGTTAAGAATGAGTTCTGATCCTAAGCCTGTCTTTAACTCAAATCTGTATGCAAGTCGGAACTCATGCTTACAAATGAGCTGCCTCGTGGATGACGTTCTCCTTCCTCATGTCAATGAACCACTGAAAACATATAAAACATATGCAGCTTCAGCAGTTCCTGAAAACTTTGTGAGGCTTCAGTAGTTTGTCAGCTTGAGGAAGGAGAAAGCTTTGCACCATTTTTAGCAATAAGCAGCCCGTTTGTGAGTATGAATTGTCTGTCAGTCGGGCCTTCTTAATCTGGGAACTGCCTGTATTGCATGCTATTTCTTGTCCTTTTATAACAAACATAGTGAATCAAAATGACCTTGGTATAGTGCAGCTTTCCCTCACTTGATGGATGGAAACTAATCAAGGAGAGAAGCAGTCTGGAATTAAGGAGAAACTTCCTAACAGAGAGGACAATTAACCAGTGGAACAGCTTGCCTCTAGACATTGTGGGTGCTTCAACACTGGAGATTATTTTTTTTAAAAAAAGACTCGACAGTCACCTGCCTGAAATGGTATAGGGTCTCCTGCTTGAGCACAGGGTTGGACTAGAAGACCTCCAAGGTCCCTTCCAATTCTATTCTGATTGATTGATATCTCCAGGATACCAAGGTCTGTTATACTGGGCAAAGTTCAAAAAGTTTCACACAGAATTGTACAGAGATGTTTTGTCGTTCGAAGCAAAGAATACGATGTGGAGAGAAGCTCTCAGAAGTGGTAGCTCAATCTTATTCCACATGGCCATCAGGAAGATTATTTCTGGGATAATGGCCAGGCCTCAGAAGGAAAAATTAGAGGGGCTTTTCTAATAGCTTGCTTAAGCTTTCCTAGTGATTAGCCTACCCAGTTTCATAGTTATTGTGAAGATAAAGCTGTTAAAATAATCTGTCAGGGAAATCGTATTATGAAATGAGACTGTTGTTGCAGCAGAGAAAGAATCTTTTATTTAGGATTTCATCATTCAGTATCTTAACCTTCTCTGAACATTATGCTATACCTGCTCTTCTTGGTTCAGTGTCTTGGTTCTTATTCCTATTTTAGGATACTTATGTTAAATAGCTGCCTTGTTCCACACTTCATTTATTGAGCCCGTTTTATGTTTCTCCCCTCCCTTTCTTGCAGGCACTTGCCTTCTCTTTCAGATTCCTCCGCCAGTATGGGGAGCAAGACCTTGCCTGCCCCAGTACCCATCCATCCTTCCCTGCAGCTGACCAATTACTCCTTTCTGCAAGCCTTCAATGGCCTGCCTGCTGTGCCTTCGGACCACCTGCCCAACCTCTACGGTTTCAGTGCCCTCCATGCTGTTCACCTTCATCAATGGACTTTGGGCTATCCCGCCATGCACCTGCCCCGCTCCTCTTTCTCCAAAGTGCCTGGCGTGGCCAGCCTAGTGGATGCCAGATTCCAGTTGCCCGCCTTCCCGTTGTTCCCGCACGTCATCCATCCCAAGCACGAAGCGACAAATGTGCCACTCAAAGCCAAGCCTAGATTTGATTTTGCAAACCTTGCTGTGGCTGCCACCCAAGAAGATCATTCGAAACTGGGACAGATAGACAACCAAGGCTCTTCTGCAGGCCTGGGCTCATTGCTTGAAGTGACCAAACTTTCCCCTGAGAAGAAACCCACCCGCGGGAGGCTACCCTCCAAAACCAAGAAGGAGTTTGTGTGCAAATTCTGTGGCAGACACTTCACCAAGTCCTACAACCTTTTGATTCACGAAAGAACCCATACAGATGAGCGGCCGTACACGTGTGACATTTGTCACAAGGCCTTCAGAAGGCAAGATCATCTGAGAGATCACAGGTATGCCCATTCACTGAGTAGGTTTATTAAACAAAACTCAGGTTTATTGTAAAGGAATTTAGGGTGTATTGTTTAGAAAATCTACCATCCTATGGTTTGTTTGGGTTGCATCGTAAATATAAATCACACTGCTCTGATTTAAATATGATACATCCACTGAAGTGATGGATGCTCCCCCTCCCCCCCTTTTTTTTTTGCAGAGAATGTTATGTTGACAATGTAGGGCTTGAACATTTGCAAACAATTCTTACTTGAAAGCTAAGAAAAATGATCTCTTTTTTATTATTATAATTTTTATTAATTTTTTACACAAACATAAGTCATTCAATAGTTGGTAAACAGTGTGGTGTCTGGGTTACATTGGTAAAAACAGTCCTTAACAATTAATTTCTATAGTCTGTATTTCATATATTAATTTTGATTACTTTCCTCTTTCCCTAAAAACATTCTTTTTTGCAAACATTGCGTTAATACAATTCTTAATATTTTAATAACTGACAATTTAGCGTATATTTTTTCCAATATTCCTAAAAATAATCATCATATTAATTCATTTGTTTTCTTTCCATTCATTTGAATTTGCCTTATCATCAATCCTGTTACAGTCCTTATTTTAGTTTATTTCTCCCATCAAATTCTGAGTATTTTTACTGGTAGCAATTAGTTACATTTACGTTGACAGACCTGATTCTATTTTTTCCATATAAGCCATCTCACATTTTTGTGTTTCTTAAGTATTAAATATAAAAGTAAAAAGAGAGGGGAAGAGAAAGAGAATAAGAGAATAAATAAATAAATAATACAAAAGAATAGAAAAAAGCGTAACAGAACAGAGAAAATAACATAGTACTTAAAATACATATCTCTCCTAGCTTAGTAGTATTTATTTTCTTAATTCAAAACATTTTATATGTATTATATATATTTTTCTTGAGTTCAGTCACCTTTAAATATCTAAAATATTTCATCCTTCTTAAAGTGTTCCAATATTCCTAAACAATCATGAAGAAAAATGAAGATCTCTTATAGGCACTGATGTAGTCACGCCGTTCTAGAAACTGCTTTTCATGGTCTTATGTTCCCATTCACATGAAGGAAATATCATTTCACTTAATTCAAAATGGGGTCAATTAGATTGGTACTTCGGGATGCTCCTCATTTTCCTGAGTGGAAAGTATGGACATTCATATTCTTCTCCGGTGGCATCACTGATAACTTGATATGTCCCAATCTCTCCTGTTCCATCCACCTTGCTATTATCATGCAGAAAATGGTAGTGATCTTTGTTAAAGATCTCTCACATTAATGGTGTGTAACCTCATGGGCCCAAAGTCCAGATTTTCCTTTGAGAAAGAGCCCAGGGTTTGAATCTGCATGCTTCCCCTCACTCCCCAAATTCATTGCTGATTGCCTATGCTTCTTAATTTGAGCAGTGCTGATGACCATTTCAGTCTTGAATGTCAGCTTTCTCCATACTCCATGGTCATTAGCTTATCTCCCTGCTTACTTCAAAATGTTACGCTCTTTGAGGATTTTAAGGATTGTAGTTGAACACATCTGGAAGATACCATTTCAGAATAAACCCAATTGAATTTTCAGCTACTTAAGCTTATATGTAGATGATCTTGGTTTTTAACAGCAAATTGGAATCACAACCAAGAAACTATTGTATTGTATTGGTAAAAATCCTATTATACTATAATTATACTATTATACTTCATTTGGTATGTATTTCCATATTTTTACTGATATGATAATTACATGCCTACTCAACACACTTAAATCAGTTTCAAAGTGTAGCATTGGATTATAAAAACTACACTAAAAACTAATAGAGAATTTTCAGCACGCTAATAAAATAAATAAACCATTATAGTTAAGCTAATTGCAACCAGTTTAAAGCTATGGATATAGGCTTGTTAATAATGTCTGAAGCTCCTTTGTGAATTTTCTTTTTTCATTGTTCATTCTGGTTTTATGATTTCTGGGCTTTTTCTGTCTACCTTATATTTGAATAGGGGAGGCCAAGTGAACGTTAAAGGATTCAGAAAAATAATTAGGAACCTATGAATAATTAGGATCCTTTGGTTATTTAATTTATAGACTCATATTGCCGTGACAATGTAACTTTAGAATTATTTCCAATTTTAGAGATGGGAAGTAAGAAAAGCTTCTATGCTGTCTACTGCAGGGCAATAGCAATTCTGGGAGAGAGATTTAAAGATAGGAGAAGTGTTCTCCAGGATTCTTCTAATTAAAGTTGGAGACCTTCCTTGGTCACTTATTTTAAACAATTACAAAAAAGTTTGAGGTTTTGAATCCTTTTCTTTTATATTCAAAAGTCTGGTTATAAATTAAAGCTACTCTGTGTAATCTGCTAAAGTCCAGATGACTATCAAGATATTCTTAACTCTTAGCTGCTATCTGAGTTTTTTTCAACCTAGATATGGTAATACTAATAGAAAGAGGAAGCACTATGTTTTAAAATTTTAATCCTTTCTACTTTTCACTAAGAGTAAGCATTACTAAGCATAATGGGAGTTGAAAACATGATTTCAGAATTGTCTGAAAACAGTGGGAATTACTGATATACAACTGTTATATAAATTCTACTGATGTTATTAACATAGAATTGGATATTAAATTTTCCAATTCAATTATTTTGGGGGATTGTGGGTTCTTTGCTTTTTGTATTTTTTCTATCCAATTCAGAGAGATGCTCTGAATATATCTTTTTGTGTTTATTTTTGGCTGGAACTTCATTCTGATATTAACAAAACTATTGCATGACAATACTTGTTTGAGTTCTTGCAGAGTGGGCAAGGGAGAACCAGTGGTGATGCGTGTGATGACATAATCACAAAAATGCTGCAACTTATGCCCTTGAATTAGGTATCCAGTTACAAGCTCTTAATCGTGGCAACTGCATCATGACATAATCATGTATGCATTGTATGTAGGTATAAAGCTAACTAAAAGTGTTTAAATTCTGAGGAATTCTGAGAGATGAAGTCCCCACATCTTAAAAATTGCTGAGATTGAGAAACATTGGTCTAAACCAGGGGTGTCAAACTGCCAGCCCACGGGCCGGATGTGTCATGCCAAAACTGCACCCACTCCATTGCCGGCAATGGGAAAAAAGTCATGATATGTAGCGACATATCACGTAACGTTGCAAGTTTGACACCCCTGGTCTAAACAGTAAATTGCAGCAGAATCAAAATTAATTTTGCATCCAAATCCAGAGTGATTACACTTTTGTTCCTGTAGAACAAAGCTCCCTTTAATTTTTTCTTTCCACCAAATGTTTGTGTTCCAGCAAGTTGAAACAGAACTGTATTTCCCTAGAGAGGTTAAACATCCATTAAAAATCTTCTTTTCTCTTTCTCTTATTTTCTCTTCCCAGATATATCCACTCAAAAGAAAAACCTTTTAAGTGTCAAGAATGTGGAAAGGGATTTTGTCAATCCAGGACTCTTGCTGTTCACAAGACACTGCACACACAAGTAAAGGAACTCAAACCTTCCAAAATGAAATGCTAAAGATTCTAACCCCAATGAACTTCATCTCTCCGCTCCACTCTACATTTTAGATCAAATTCTTCACAGAGACAATGGGGAACACTCAACATAATTAATTTAATACTTAAAAAAATATATCAAGGAAACCACAACCCGATAGGCACAAAAATGCAGCCAGTCTTTCCAAAACCTGGGTACTTCCAAGTGTAAATCCTGCGTGACTTCACTAAACTTTACGTCAAAAGGGGGTGCTCAAGTATTGGAGAGGAATCTTTGTTCTCCGTTTAAACCCAAACAACAAATAGCTTTCTACCTCCCCAATTAAGTTTATTCTTTTGTGAGTGACTTGTTTAAAACGTGTCTCCTTTATAACCTTTGGAAAAGAAAATCTAGAAGGGTATTATCCTAACTAATTCCACATTTGGGGAACAGCTGAGATGGCAGAGAAGATCACTAATAAAACTGTTGGAAAGAGGCAACATTCTGAAGAAATATCATGCTATAAAGGGGTCCTACCATCCTCCAGAAATTAACACTTCTGTCTTTTTTTTTTTTTGGTGGGGATCTCTTCTGCATACTCTAGTGAGCTTTCTGTCATTTCTGTTTATACGTGGTCTGGTGCCTTAGGAGGTAGTTTGTAATTTGAAAGAAAAATTGAAAGAAAAACCAAGCAAACCAAATCCAGCAATCAACAAGCAAACAACCCCACGTGGCAAAAGGGAAACTTGATAATAACAAATCAAAGTGACTGCTGTGCACAGTGTAGCCTTGGTGGTATTTTCAAGTTAGCATGTGTCCAGATGATGGTGAACTGAGTTTTGTAAAAGGGCAGGTGGGAGAGTTTGCTGACAAATCTCAACAGGAGAATTTTATCCAGAATCATCTTTTATTTTATTTTTTCCTAAGCAGTGTAAAAAGAAAAAAAAAAAGACAAGACATTCCAATATGTTTTTGGTTTAAAGTTATTGCTATTTGGCACTTTATGCTGATTCTTGATAATGAACATTTATCACTGGATTTATTATTATTTTTTAAGTATTAAAATAAATTGGTATTTTACAGGCAAATATTCCCGAGTGACATTTAAATCTCTTGGTTAAAGGTGTTTTTGCAAAACTCTATGCTATCTGTCATGTTCTTATATCGTTACTCGATGGTTTTATTTTCCAGAAATGAAATTAATTAATAATCAATAATGAATTATAAAATATAATAATATTTTAAGTAATGTTGTTTAACAATTAACTGATTTATTAACTATCACTGCTGTTGTATGTATTTACTGAGAAGTATAAATTTCATTGACTTCAGCAAGGCTGGAACTGATATTTAGAGCCTGACTCCATAATTCTAGATAAGACTGAAATTTTTAAACTGGGTGCAAAATATTGACATTCATAGGATAGTGCTGAAAGGAACACAATGGAATTTAATAAAACACTCAGTGAGGTTTTCCTGAATTTTTTTCTAGGAAAAGATAGAGGAAAAAAATACTTCCAGTGTTAAATAAAGTAGGAATAAGGCCCAGTCTCATTAAAAATAGGGTGGATTAAGTGAGTTTGTTTTAGTATAAGAAGTGATTAAAATTCTACAGTATCTGTATAGAGGTAGTCCTCAACTTCTGACCACGATTAAGCGCAAAATATCTGTTGTTAAGTGAAACATTTATTAAGTGATTTTATGACCTTTTTTGTCACCGTTGTTAAGTGAATTGCTGCAGTTGTTAAGTTAGTAACATGGGTAAGTGAATCTGGCTTCCCCATTGGCTTTGCTTGTCAGAACGTCGCAAAAGGTGATCACGTGACCCTGGGACACTGCGACTGTCATAAATATGAACCAGTTGCCAAGCATCTGATCATGTGGCCATGGGGATGCTGCAACGGTCATAAGTGTGAAAAATGGTCATCAGTCACCATTTTACGTGCCGTTGTGACATTGAATGGTCACTAAACAAAACTTAAGAGTTATTATCTATCTGTCTGTCTATCATCATCTATCTGTCACCTATCTATCATCTATGGCTCAGTTAGAAAATGGTGGTCAGGTGTTCAAGCCAATTCTTCTATTTTTGTTCTAAGGAGTCTTCTTTTGATGTTATTTCTTGGGGGAAACTATCTTTTAATGCTTCATGGAATTACATATCTACATGTGAAATTACAGACACAGGCCCAACAAATATGACACAAAAATAAATAAAGTTGCTTTCTTCAGTCTGGATGTGAAAACAAATAGGAAAGGTGAAAGGAAAAAAATGAGCTAGATGTTGAAATGCAAACATCTGCACTTTGGAAGAAGAAGAGATATCAAACAGAATGAATAGCATTCAGACTTATATACTGCTTCATAGTCCTTTACAGCCTTCTCTAAGCAGTTTACAGAGTCAGCATATTGCCCCCAACAATCTGGAGATCCTCATTTTACTGACCTCGGAAGGATGGAAAGTTGAGTCAACCTCGAGCCAGTCAGAACTGAACTCCAGGCTGGGGGTAGAATTTGCATGCAGTACTGCATTTTAACCATTGCATCATCATGGCTCCTAGTGAGATAGATCTCATTCAATACTGTATAAACAGCTTTCATCCAGTAGGTGAATGACTAAACATTAAAAGTGCTACTCCTTTAAAAAATTAAAAATATATGTTGCAGTTACATGAAAGGAGGGAAATCTCCCCAAGAGTAGACAGAAAGCCTTATATATTTTCTTTTATTATTATATTTTCATCAGGGCATATCATATAGTAGATACTACCAGATTCTTTTTATCATATTCTCTTGTGAATCTTAAGGCATTTTTTCAATCTTAAAAGTACATTATTTGGAAATATAATTGACTTTTACTTTTAGGGCATTCAATTAAAAAGTATATTTCTTTACATGTTTGGAGAAAAAAATTAAATGAGCTAATTGATTAAAAAATGTCAATTGGAACCAAACTGGACATTGTTAGCTAATAGTTGGAGGATACATAATATTCCCATCTCCCCAAATTAAGCATTTTAGCTGTAATAGATATCCTGTATACAACACTGATCTATGAAAAAAGTATTTCCAGATAAGGTATTTATTGTGCCATCACTCTGACTCCTTAAAAGAATTGCACAGGATGACCAATTATTTTGTTCTACATCTAATTATTTTCTCAGCGGGTCTTCCATCTCTTTTCACCTAAAACAGTGAAGAAGGAAGAGAGGAAAACTGCATATTGTCTTTTGAATAGCAACACTATGTGCCTTGTTTCAAAAAGCACCAGTGAACTTAGTAGGTCCACAAGCAGGAATTGCAGGACTTATCCATTCAAAACCACAATTTTCAGGTTATTTGACTTATGGAAGGGGGACAATTGAAACATTTCCTATATAAACTCATTTGAAAATAAAATTCAATAACTGTTGTCACAATATATTTAACTGGTTTAATGGGTAGTTAACGTGTTTATGGGAACACCAAGAATGTGTGAATTAATCCAATCACCTAGCCCCAATGGATTAAATTTGGCCTTAAACAGACCCTCTAATAATGCACAGGGTTAAACTCATTCCACCTAATCAGTTGTACTGTGGGATAAACTATATTAAGTCAAATGATCCATTTTGCCCAACTAGTCCTCCAAGAAAAAGAGGTGGAGAGAAAGAATGGGTGAAGTCTATCAGTTACAGAACTTTATTGCCAAGATGATGATGATTTAAGATTGTTCAGAATACAAAATTAATCCCAAACATAACTGATTGTGTTGACTATCTATGACTATCTGACCAATAGGGAAGGTGTCTAGGGATGTCATGAAGTTTTGCTGATCTCCTAGCATGAAAACTCAGAACACATCAGCCACTTATAGGGAAAAGGCAAATTGTGGCTTTTTGACCCAGTTAGTGTGATTATGGGCTGCCGGATTACAAATACATCTGTTTTACAGTGCTATGTTTTACTGGGTTTAAGATAACTGGGTTAAATGTGTTGTAGAAACAGGGATATTGTGCTTAATTAACTTTAATTCTCAGGTGCATACATATGATTACAATTTCAAGTACTTGGCTATTTATGTCAAAACACTCAGTGCGATAAGGTTGATATCTTCCAGAATTGAGATGAAGTTTATAATATTTAAACCCTGTTTTTCCAAGTAACTTACTGTGAAGACAGATATTAAATTCCTAATTCCAAATTTTATTTTTTAGCATCTGGTAAAACACGTACGAATTATCATATCGTTGCTACATCTTTTATTTTTAGTTTTTTAACTTCATGTAATCTGCAGAAGAACAGCAATTTTAGTTCTTTGGAAAGCTGTGAAGAGTGGAAGAGAAAGGATTTATTTTTGATTTAAGTAAAGTCCCCCCTCCCCTATCCTTTTTGTTAATTTTTACCTGAACAGTTGGACTTTTAAAAAAATTGCCATGAAAAACATCTTGTTTCAGAATAATAAATAAAAAATTTACAAGGAGGTTGAAATCATTCCTCCCACCACCATTATTAGAAAATATGCAGGAAAAAGTCATTTTTCTGTATACAGTAATCATTATAATTGCTACACAGAGGTCAAGCTCTATTTGCAAAAATAATGTGCCTTTCTGTCTCCAAGAGGCACTGTCATTTTTATAAGAGGCTGAAAAAAGATTCAGTGCCTACTTTGTTTCTGGACTAACTTGTTCACTTTTGTAGGGTTACTCCCTTTCTCCTTGCCAGCTGAATAGGTAATAAAGGACCAAAAGGGCAATGGAGGAGGTAACATCCTTATATTGTTATATTCTATACAGTCAGAATCTCTGTTATGATTTTACAAATCCAATCTTTTCACCACTATCTCCCTTGTGCCTAGCAGGATCTTTGCCCTGCAACACGCTAGTTCCCTTTTTGATGTTTTTAACTAAAAATAAATGGAAGGATGAAATTTAGCTATGTTCAAGTGCCAGTTGCTCACAAACTGGTATATGTACCTATTTGCCCTCTAATAGGTGTTTTGTGACTGGCTTCTTACCTAGACAACCATAAAATCAGTGTTTTTCCAAACTTGGTAGCTTTTAAGATGTGTGAACTTCCCAGAATTGTCTAACCAACACTGGGAATCGAAGTCCAATATCTTAAAAGTGCTAAGTTTGAAAAACACTGCACTAGATGCATGATCATGACAACACTTTTTGAAAGCATTCACAACACTTTTTCGAAATTCAAGATTGCTTTGACTAAAATAGCTGTAGAGATTAGAAACAAGGAACTAGTTGTGAGAGGGTCTACCAAGACTGTTGTTGAGTCTGGAAAGAATTTTTCTTCTGGTGCTCAAATCTATAAAAGACCAGAGCAGCTGAAAGGAACAAAAAGAACAGTTTCCACAATTCTCTACTAAAAATTCCAAATTCAGTATATCAAAACTCTTATTATGCCTACATTTATTTTTCAGATTTCCGTTTTGCCATAATCAAAAAGACATTCAGTGGTACATATTTTCACATTGTTACTTATCCCATATGACAAAATCAATTACTTAAGCATACTTTTAAAAGAATAAGCTGTATTTTTAATATATGACAAAATGTAATAATAAGCAAACCAAGTTATGTATTAGGTATTTTTTGTTGTTAAAGAATCAGCTATGTCTAGATTAGTAAAAGGTGCCTCTTAAACATAAATGGCTTTCAATTTTCCCTAATATTATTTTTCTCAGAGCAAACTAAAAGTCCATTTCCCCAACATTTCTGGAGATTTTATATCTCAAGAGTTAATTTCCTTGAACAAACAGAAAGTTACTTAAGAATTTCAATACAGGGGGTCCTTGATTATGATCATAATTGAGCCCAACATTTTAAGTGAGTTTTGCCCATTTTATGACCTTTCTTGCCACAGTTGTTAATGAATCACTGTGGTTGTCAAGTTAGTAACACAATTGTTAAGTGAAAGGAGTTTCCCCATTGAGTTTGCTGGTCAAAATGTTGCAAAAGACAATGACATGGCCCTGGGACACTGCACCTGTCATAAATATGCACCAGTTGCCAAGCATCCAAATTTTGATCACATGACCATGGGGATACCATGGTCAACAGTCTTAAGTATGAAAAATAGTATAAGTCACTTT